TGAAGGAGGGGGTCGCAAAAACTTTTGGAAAAGTAGCAACGATAGGACTGACCCTGCTCCCCCTCCCTCCAGCAATCATCACGGTTTCTACTAGAAAAGGATGAAGTGAAATGTAGAGTCAGCAGGTCTCAAGATTAACCGTGCAGCCGTTGCAGGTTCACTGCCACGACAAATTGAGTGCTTCTCGTGTATGTCATTATCGTATCAAACCAGCTGGAAATATCTACAAACTACCTACATCTATCCAAAGGTTCGTCTTTTCTAGATATTTTTATTTTAACTGGAATTGTGAGCCCTTTTTGATTCATTCAATATAACCATTTCATGCCCAGCTTTTCACAGAACCCATGATCTCTAGAACCCTTGACCTTGTTGCTTTCAGGTGTTCACGGACCGATGTAGGGATCCAGGAAGTGAACGTGGAATGCCGACGGTGCCTTGTTCCACCGTTTGTATATCATTGCTGGAACCTGACATAGAAGCTGGTCAGTTCCTCACCAAAAGCTATTTTTAGAAGAACAGGCAAACTTGCCCATGACGGCCTTCTTCGGGTTGTTAAGCCCATTCGTTTGATGGGTAGATAGAAATAATGCACACACCTCTACCAGAGCATTTATTGTTGAATCAATAATAAGTCGAGGTTCATGCTTCCTGGTTTCCGAAGTTTCGCCTTTTCAGGTGTTTTTATTGGCTATAAGCACATTCGTGGTTGTATGGATCGAGTATTGAGGCACGGCTTCAATCAAACTGCATTGCGGACGCACAGATTTCATCACCATGTAAGTCTTTAGCGACCTTATTCGTATAGAGCGTTGAAAATTGATTAGTTTCTTTGTGATATGTGCTGCATATAAGCCTTCTATTCAAAATTGAAATCACCCCTGGTTCAGACTTAGGCAGCATGTACAGGTCGCCGTTTTCATTCTACCCACAAGTCGGATACCGGTTGAATCCTAGGTAATGAAGCCTTAGTAGTCTGGGGAATGTTCGACAAGAACTAACCACCTGAAATGCCCGTAAATAGCGATAAGAAGGGAGCTGTTAATTTTAGTGACAACTGCAGGTGACTTGGCCTTTCTCCTCCTTTCGAGCCGTGGCCCAATCCCCCTCCTTTTATTCTTTTGTGTCATGTAAATCATGGCTATTCTATTGTAAACGTGCTACGTCTTCATTGTAGAAATTACGGCAACAGCAGATAAATAAATAAGTAAACAAATAGATAAATAAGCCCTATCCTTCGTTAGGTGCTCGGTAGAATTTTTGGAAACTACAAAACTAAAAGTTCTGCCATGACCACAGGATGCTTACAAGGCTGGATACCC